TGTATATATGTGTTATGGTGTTGGCAATTCAGCTTGCACACATATATATACACACACACATACATACACATACATAGATAGATATACATATATGTATATGTGTGTATCCCCAACGACCTTTCCGCGCGGTCCGTCACCACTCGGTCTTGGGGCCATGGAGGCCCCCGTCGCCCGAGACGTCCTCTGAGGGCGGCCCGAGCCCCAGGACCGGGCGGTGACCCCGACTCCCCACCGACTCGCCACGCGGCGCTGTCACGACGACGACAACATCGACGACGACGACGACGACGACGACGACGACGACGACGACATGGACGACGACGGCAACGACCACGACCGTCGCCGGAGAGAGTGCTCCCAGCAGCCTTCGCTTCCTGGAGGCTACCTGCCCCCGTCCAGGGCGCTGCTCCCGCGGTGTCTGGCACGGGTCCTGTTCTGGCGTGCGCGTCTCCAGATGCAGCCAAACCGCCCCTCCAGAGCCCCCCTGTCTCCAGGGCGCAAGAATCCACGTCGACACATCCTGTTACGAAATGCTCTCATAGAGGAACTGAAAACGGCATATAACCCAGAGTGCTGCCCGACCTGACGCAAAATCACTGCTGCGCGTGAGTGTTGCGACTGTCTCGACGCATCATCAAACCAAGAAGTGTTCTCTTCGAGGAACGGAGAACGGCATCAGCACGAGCTGTCGGAGCTCCGCGCGGAGCTCTTGGATCTGTGCTGGCACCCCTGGCGGCTCCTCGGGCGCTGCCCCCGGCGCGCTCCGCGCGCCAGGGAGGGGGGGGGGTCCGGCACAGATCCAAGAGATCTGCGCGGAGCTCCGAAACTTTCTGATTGTGTCGTTTGTTCTTCTTCGATTTCGTCGTCGCGTCAGATGCGAGAGAGCACGCCGAGCGAATGCGGGGAGGGAAGCAGAATGTGTCCGCTCCTTCCGCGACAATCCGCAGCCGTTTGAAAGGCCAGAGCGTTTTCGCAGCAAGTCCACTCGCAGGCTAGCGTGAGTCCTGTGGGGCCGGTCAAATGAGTGAAGTTGAAAACGCAGTCTCAATCAAACAGGTAGGCCCGTCGAGGCGATCGAGTGTAATGTAACCCAGGAACCAACCAAAAACGTTGGCGTCGACGCATCACCGCCTGATAGGCTGAGGCGACCAAACACTCGAGAAGTACGTTCAAAAAAAGAATCCACCGAAGCGACACCACCTCCACCAGCGCGAGGAGCCAGGGAACGTCTCCCTAATGATTTGCCCCACCCCCAGCCCCAGGCTTAGGTCGGGCCTGTCCTCCTACAGGTGGAGTGTGGCCGGAAAAAATTAAAACAAATGCCCAACAAATAATCGAAACCTGTCAAAAAAAAATGCCCCTGATCATTTGTTTGACGATTTTTGAGTATTCCCCCTGTAGAGGGACAGGCCCGACTGAACCCCAGGCTCGAGAGACCCCATGTCTGTCCCCGGCTCGGGGAGGCGCCGTGCACCCCCTCGCTGAAGGCGTCCCCCGGTGATGGTGGCGTCGGCTTCCAAGACAATTGGAGAGTTGCTTGCTTCTCCATGCGCGGCCCCAGAAGGTCCCGACCCCTTTCGGAGGGAACGAGAGGGGGGGGATAGCAAAGGGTAGGGTAGAGAATCAGCTCACGTAGCTGATTTTCCCAGCGCCTCCCAGCGCAGGGAGGCGCCCATGTATCGAGGAATGGGCCCGGCGGCGGGGCCGAAACCAGCAGCATGCAGCAGATTTCGTAACCCCTCCTTTCCCTATCTCCCCCTTTCGTTCGGCCCGACCCTTACCAGGGGCGGGTCTTTCGCGCTAGACTCCTTGTTTAGGTGGCGACGTCCGGAGGAGGCGGGGGTGGGGTTCGGATTTCGCCACGCGTTCGACGAGCTCCGAACACACACCACACGCCCGCCGCCCATCGATTTCGCCGCCGACTGCCCCTGGGCCCGAGGACGACCCCTGGAGGCCGAAATCGGGGAAACCACGGCAGGATTGGACAAATCAGATGGTCGGATGCCTCAAGGGAGGACGGGGAGGCATCGGAGCTGCAGCGCGAAGCGCGAAGCGCGAATTACTTCGCGCCATCGAGGGCGCCCTTGATGCCTGGGCTTCTGTCCTCCGGGCACCGCCCCGCCGCGGGCCGCGGCGCGGTCGCCGCGGCCGCCGCGGCGGCCGCCGCCACGGCCTGGGATTATGTCGGGCATGTCCCCCTACAGGCGGAGTTTGAGCGAAAAATGAAAATACCAGAAAATATCCCAGTGCGACCCTACCTAGGAGTTGGAGCCCCTAGGAAAGCAGCATTAGTAGTAACAGTAAAGCTAAGCTAAAGCTAAGCTACAGCTAAGCTACAGCTAAGCTAAAGCTAAACTGAAGCTAAGCTAAAGTTAAGCTAAAGCTAAGCTAAAGCTAAGCTAAAGCTAAGCTAAAGCTAAGCTAAAGCTAAGCTAAAGCTAAGCTAAAGTTGAGCTACAGCTAAGCTAAAGCTAAGCTAAAGTTAAGCTAAAGATAAGATAAAGCGAAGCTAAAGCGAAGCTGAATCTAAAGCTAACGCTAAAGCTAACGCTAAAGCTAAAGCTCCCAGGGGACTGGGGGAACCGCGGGGCGGGGACTGGGGGAACCACCCGGGGCGAGTTGCACTGCCCGGCCCCTTTAAGAAAGAGAGTAAGAACCCTCTAGGCAGAGCCTAGGTAGGGAAATACTCCAAAATAGTCCGAAAATCATAGAAAAATCGTCCCTGTGCTATTGTTTACTAATTTTGGAGATTCCTCCAGTACAGGGACGCGCCCGACTTAAGCCTGGGATGAAAAGCGACTACGGCGCACCCGCGCCGATGCCGGCCGGGCTCCGCCGCGGCCACGGAAGCGGCGCGCGCGCGCCCTCCCGGAGGGGCCAGGGAGGCAGAGGCACCGAGACTGGGCGCGGGGTCGGCCTGCAGGAACAGGTTCGGCGCAGGGTTTCGGGGGCAGCTCCTGGGATTGATCGGGGATCTGCTGACCCGGGTCAATCTAAACCCGGGTCAGTCAGGCCCTGCAGAATCCTGCAGACTCATCATGCACACAAACCCGGGTCAACGCGAAGGATCCTGCAAGATCCTGCAAAATCCTGCACCCAATCCCGGGTCAATGCGACCTTGGCCCTGCAGAATCCTGCAAATACGCGGGGGCCGACCGTCCCGGCATTCCCATAGGCCTACCACGACATGTTATTAGAACCCGTAAATGTTCCTAGAGCACAAACAATGTTCTTAGAACATGATCCCAATATGTAAACAGGACAGTCCCTGCCAGAAATGTTCCAAAAACATCTCGCGCAGACCACAAAAGGTTATTTGGACATTCTCTGGTGGACTTATAGGGATGCCAAGACGTTTCGCCACTGTTTGATGGGAGGTCTTCGCTGGAATGATTCAGGGCGATAAACGCCGATTAGGGGGCATCTTCATAATATCAGGCCAGCTTAGGCCCGGAACTGAGCCGGAGTAAGCCGGATCGAACGGGATCAAAACGGACTGCAAAAATGCCAGAGCCGATGCAGAATTCTACCTCCCAGGAGTTGCATCCCAGGACAAACACCGATGCTGGGCGCGGGGTCGCCATGCATGATCAGGTTCGGTGCAAAGTGCTCAACCCCAGACAGCCAGCGATCTGAGCGGCGAAAAGAAATGGGTCGTGCGCGAGAACACATGGCGACCTCGCTCCGCAGCTTACGCGGGCCGCCAGCGAGGCACATCGCGTGGAGAAGAGGGCGCTTACGTGCGAGCTCACCCGCGGCGCCAGATCCCCAGATCCATGTTTTTTTTCTCTGGGGGAAAGGGAGGAAGACCACAGAACTTCATGGACCAAAAAAGGAAACGACACCACCCACCCTACGGCACGACGGTGTTGGAATTTCAAGCACTTGTCCCGTGCAGCCTCGGCTTGTTATCACGAAGACCCCGCAGTGGCGTCGGGGAGCCACCGCCCAAGCCAGCGCCGAACGCCGCCCGAGCACCGCTGGTCGAGGCCGAGCCAGGCGAAGCTTCACCTGGCTCGGCCTCGACCGCTGCGCGAGTCAAATAGTCGCCAGGCAAAGTGGGATTGCCACAAGAGCCGCCCTGCAATAGGCAAACTCACGCAATGAACCGCTGCCTGAAAAAGGAACGAGCGCGCGGCATGCGCGACGAAGGGACAAGCGAGGAGGAGACAAAGGAGGCATTTGGCAGGGCGGGCCAAACCGACACTCGCCGCTCGCAACGGCCACACACCACACCCACTCGGTAGGGCGCAGCGTGCAATATGGAGAAGAGCTGGGGACGAACGACGGATCGGGAATAAAAAACTCAGATGGCGACGGCGCGGGCCATCAAAGAAGCGCAAGGCCCGAACGCCGCGAGACCGAAAGTGCACGACCGTGGCGGCGAAGACTAACAATAGCATGATTCATGGTCGTGGAGACACGAAGAAAGTGGGAGGAAAGGGGAGAAAGGAAAGGAATAGCAGAGATCCGGCGCGCAACGCACCGCAACTGGAAGACACAACCTGCTGGCACCACGCCAGCGACGCAGGCGCCGAGGACCAGTCGGCGAGAGGCAAGGCATGCAACCAAGACTGAATAAAACGACGTGCAAGGGACTATCCCTGGGCGGCGAGATGGCCTCAGCGCCACGGCCCCGCAGCAGCGGAATGGAGGCATCGGGCGGGTTCCACGCACCAGGGGGATGGCCCCACGCTGTGCGCGCGTCAGCGCATGATGAGAAAACCGTGAAAACAAGCGTGCGAAGGGCAACCCTGGAAGGCGAGATGGCCCATGTGTCGCGGCCCCGCAGCCGCGGAGTGGAGGCGCGGAGCGGGCCCGCGCGCCACAGGGGACAGCTGCTTTCAATGCAGAAAAAACGTGCAATCGAACGATAGACTGTAAAACTAATTAAGCGTTCCCTGCCGACACTGTACGACACCTGGCTGATGCAGGTGTGCCAAGGCGCCAGTCACCAATGGCGCGGCACCCTGAAACTGAACCTGGAACCTGGGGCGGTTCTAAAAGCGGCCAGCACGCCTCTCGGGGGTGGTATCGATGGCCTCGCCGCCGCCCTCCTTGGCGTACATAATTCTGGCGAGCTGGGCGCGCTTCGTCTTGGAGACCACCGCCTCCCTGCCCTCCCGCAGCGACGGCTTGAAGACGTAGAACTCGACAGGGTTGACGGCCCTTCCGACCACGGTCTCGCCGAGGCCCCACGCCGAAGTGACAACGACGGCGTCTTGGAACACGGACTCGGTGTCGGGCGTGAACATCACGCCGGCGGAGGCCGCCTCGCTGCGGACTATCTTGTGGACGCCAGTGCATGGCTGGACCTTGCGGTGGTCGAAACCCACGTCGTGGCGGTAGGATACGGGGCGATCTGTGACGATTGAGGCGTAGCACTAGTGCACCTTTTCCTGCAAGTTCTCGTACCCGAACACGTTGATACGTTTCCTGCTGGCCAGCGAAGGATGCGTCCGGGAGGTCCTCCGCGGTGGCCGAAGAACGCCCGGCGACCTGGAAGCTCTCGTTCCCCTGGGAGACGCGCTCCAACTGCCGCTCCAGGTCGTCCTCGAACTCGGCCTGCAGGGGCTGGGCCATGATCACCTGGCGCACACTCTCGCCCACCTCCTGCAGCTTGGTCACGTCGGTGCAACTGCCCTCGTCCTCGAGGGCTTCGCTGATCCTGTCGCCCAGGCCGCCATACTGGAGGAAGTCCCTGTACGCCTGAGCCGTCGTGAAGAAGCCCCCTGGCACGGGGCACCCGCGTCCGCGAGCCCCCCGATCACCTCACCCACGGACGCGCTCTTGCCGCCAACCCTCGGCACGTCGCCGTTGCGGACCTCCGCCAGGGGGACGCGCGGCCGCAGGTCGACCCTCCCCGCCGCCGGCGCACGCCACGACCTGGGCCCCGAAGGCGCCCGTCGTAGACGTACTCGCATGTCTTCGCGTACATCTCGTCGCTCGTCGTCGCACGTCGTCGCGACCGTACTCGTGTGGCGTCGAACGCACGTCGTTGCACCCAGGAGCCGCACATCGTCGAACGCAGGCCTTGGAGCCCCCCTGGGGCCCCAAGGGGCCCCAGGGCGCCGCCCAGCCCCCACTCCCTGCTCACCCCCCTACCTCCTCACTCCTGCGGAGATGAAGAGGAGGAAGAGGAGAAGAAGGAGGGAGGATGAAGAGAAAAGGAAAGAGGGAGGAGGAATGAGGAAGGATGGAGGAGGAAAGAGGGACGACGGAAGAGGGAGGACAAAGAGGAGAAGGAGGAGGAGAAGGACGACGACGACGACGAAGAGCACAAGGAGCAGGAGGAGGGGGAGGTGCAGGTGGAGGCAGGAGGAGGAGGAGCAATATCACAGACCAATGGAAGACAAAGGGTTGGCCGACCCGACCCACTCCGATCTTTTAGGCCCCGATGGCCTTTGATTATATCGCCGATCCACTTACACCTCGACCGCTGCACCTCTGGCCCATCCGTTGGGAAGCTAAGCAACGTGAACGGAACGGGACAAGCGGCTGGCCGCCTGCAAACTGCTTTGGGGACGACGCCCTGTCGACAAAATGGTCCGACACAAGGGGCCACGGCCCCCTAGAAAAATTGTTCAGGATACGTTTCCTGCATTTTCCTGCGAGACCTTGCACGGCGCTCTCAACGCACTGACCGCACTGGCGGTACACCACGATGACGAATTCAACGTCGAGATGAGGAGGAGGAGGAGGAGGAGGAGGAAGAGGAGGAGGAAGCGAAGGAGTGACCGAGGAGTGACCCATGGGGACCCTGTCCCTGTCCAAAGGCCCCTGGAGTGCAGAAGGAACACGAGCCTTCGCACGTCCAGGGCAGCGCGCCCTGCGCAGGAGGAACACGAGCCTCCGCACAGAGCCGAGGCGCAGGAGGAACACGAGCCTCCGCACCCCTAAACATCGAGCCCAAGCGGCGCAGGAGGAACACGTGCCTCCGCGCCGCCAGGGAAGCACGCCCGGTGCAGGAGGAAATCGAGCCTCCGCACCGAGCCGAGGTGCAGGAGGAACACGAGCCTCCGCATCTCGCGGGGCGCAGGAGGAACACGAGCCTCCGCACCCCGAACGCGCGAGCTCAGACCATCACCCCGCGGCCGTCGGAGACGAACGCGACCTGCCTGAGCTCCCGAGAACAAGACCCCGACCTGGCCGACGAGCGCCGCGACCTGACCAGCCGTAGCCGATCCTTGCACGGCGCCTGGCCTCGGCGTCCTTCGTGGCCTCCATGGCAATCTCCTGCGCCCGCGGCGGGAGGCCCAGCGAGAACTTCGGCACTTCCACGCTGTTCCCGAAGCCTGCGACGTTCTTCAACATGCCGTCACACACCTTGTCGGCCGAGGGGTCCGAATGCTCCGCCTTCTGCACGTCGGTGTCCTTCTCGACGTGCGCCAGCATCGGCACCTCCACCTTCTCCTCGGCCTTCTTCGGCACCAGGAGGTCCTTCTCGAGGAGGTGCGTCGACGACACGTCCGCCTCCACCTTCGGACCGTGAGCGAGCCTCTCGACGTGCTTGGTAATCGGCGGCTTCATGATCGCCGCGACCTCCTTCTCCTCGATGACCTGCATGTCCTCGCTCTTCTCCTGGGAGTCGCCACCCAGCACATCCTTGCACTCGTCCGCATTGTCCTGCGCGGTCGGGGGGAACGCCTCGCGCCATGCGCCAGGCCCAGCACCAAAGCGATGGTGGGAGGCCTGGTTGCGCAGCTTCCTGCCGCTTCCAGGGATGCTGGCGCGAACCCCGCGCCCGCCTGCCTGGACGTGCTTCTGGATGACGGGCCCGATTGCCTTCATCCTTTCCTTCGTCTCGACCTGTTCGTCGGACGGCTCCGCGATATCCTGCAGCACTTCCGCCGCCACGCGGACACACGCCGCCGCCGCAGCCACCGCTGCACGTTGACCTCCGCCTGCAGCGCCCCGCATGACGCCCTCGACGATGATCGCGAGTTCCGCACTCGAGACCCCCATGGCTGGACGCGCGCCGCCAGGCGGGGGGAAGACCGCAGCACTTGAGCCAAAATGGCTACGGAAGGAGGAAGCGAAGGAGGAGGAGGAGGAAGAGAAGGAGGAGGAGAAAGAGGAGGAGGAGGAGGCCAAGGAGGAGGGGAAGGACAGAGGACGCAGAGCGGGGGACGGAGGAGGGATTGGAGCCCCCCGAACGGCCGCTGCCGCCGAGGGGGCCACGCGCCGCTGCCGCTGGGTGAACATCGCGCGCGGCGGCGAGACCAGGCGCGCCCATCGGGGGCCCCCCGTCACTGGGAGCACTGTGGCAACGCCTCGTGCCCCCCTCCTCCTCCCCCCTCCCCATTCCCCTTTTCATCCCCCTCATTCCCATCATGATATTGATCCCCCTCCTCATCCTCCTGCTCCGCCCCTCCCGCCCCCCCTCCTCATCCTCCTCCTCCTCTAATTCGCCCCCCTCGTCCTCGTCACTGTCGTTATGTTCGTATTCGTCCTCCCCCTCCTCCTCCTCCTCCTTCTC